ATACCCTGTTAAAAATAAAGATACATGCAGAACCTGTTGGAGAAAATCATAAGACTTTCCCGAAGGGCATAAACAAAGGCCAGAATAAATGGAGAGACACAGTGTGTTCCTGGGTGAGAGAACTCAATATTGTATTATATTAAAAAACAGTGCCCTTCAAAGATGTACAAATTTCAAACAAAATCTCTAGCAGGATTTTCAGCTGAATTTGACCAAAAAAGACTATTCTGGAAGAGAAAATATGTAATAATAACAAAAAGGACATTTAAATAAAAAACAATGAGAAAAGCTTTCTCTATCAGATACCAAACTAGAAAGCAAGATAACTGAAACTGCAGTTTGGAGGTAGAAGTAGGTAGATAAGTAGATCAACATAACAGACCAGAGTCCAGAAAGAGACGCATTTTTCTAAGGAGAGTTAGCACATGAGTAAGGGCTAAAATTTCAGATGAGTGGGGACAGAAGGGTTATTCTGCAGCAGGAACTTGAACAGCTGGCAACATGTGGGAAATAATAATGCCAGCTCATCACCAAAACAAAAAATATGCTCCAGGTGGATCAAAGAGCTCAGCAAAAACACTTTTTATCTAAAAGTACTATATATATATATATATATATATATATATATATATATATGCATGCACATATATATTATTCATATATACATATATGAATAAGTATACAGCCTTGAGGTAGAGAAGGCACAAGATAATACATAAAGTGTGAATGGCATAAAAAGATTGATAATGATTGCTTCAGAATTTTAAAATGCTGTGCAATAAAAGACACCAAAACCAAGATTAAAATATAAGCAAAATGCATAAAGAATTTTATATATATAGTTTCTTATAAATCAATAAGAAAATGACAGCCTTGGGACCAGTGTCTCAGTTGGCTGGAGCGTTGTCCTGTACACCAAAATGTTGCAGGTTTAATCCCCAGTCGGGGCACATACAGGAGGCAACTGATTGATGTTTCCCATATCATTGATTTTCTCTCTCTCTCTCTCTTTCTTCTTATCTCTCCAAAATCAATAAAAATATCCTTGGGTGAGGATTAAACAACAAACAAAAAACATCTAATGGAAAATGGGCAAAGACCATGAACAGGTGATTCACAGATCAACTTCAAAGGGCCTGAGGACATGCGAAACATCTACTTCACTGTGAACCACAGCACAGATGAGAGTGAGGATGAGTTTCCCCGTCAGAACAGTGAGCAGAAGCGAGGGGAGAACACGGGAGGGGAGACTCGCAGGTAGACAAAGAACTGCCAGAGCTGGTGAAGAGTGAGGAAGTGGGCACTCACAGAAACTATTGGATGATGTCAACTGGTTCCATCTTTTTGGAAGAAAATGTTGGCCATACCCATTAAAATAATATTAAAAAAAATAAAATCTGCATACCCTTCAACACAAGCCCACATGCAGACTGCTGCTTCAGAAATGCTCTGTGGAGCACGGGTGAGGGGGCTCACTCTGGGCGCTCTGCTCGCTGTGAGGAGGGAAGCTCGACTCGAGCCCTGCCCTCGTGGGGTGAAGTGGCAGTCACTGCACAGGGGACCAGGAGCCAGCCTGGAGGGTGAGGTGAAGGCAGTGATAGAGGGCACAGGGCCCCGGGGAAGCTCAGGCTGGAGGGCAGGCTGGGGCAGAGGGAACCAGGGGAGGCTTCCTGGAGGGGGAGGTGCCTATGTTAAATGATGACCAGAAGTTAGCCCAAAAAGAGTGGGTGGAAGACAACCCAGGAGAAAGACAACTTGTTCAAAGCCTCAGAGGCAAGAGAGAATGCACTTTTTAAAAAAAAAAAGAGAAGCAGCCCCGGCCGGTGTGACTCACTTGGGTGTCATCCTGTAAACCAAGAGGTCACAGGTTTGATTCCAGAGCGGGGCACATGCCTAGGTGGTGGGTGTGTCCCAGGTCAGGGTGTGTACAAGAGACAACCAACTGATGTTTCTCTCCCTCTCTTTCTCTCCCTCCCTTCTCTTCACTCTAAAATCTATAAGCATGTCCTTGGGTGAAGATTAAACAAAACAAACCAAACAAGAAGCAGATGGGTGTTACCAATGCTGGGGTGCTGTGCTGTAAGAAGTGGGAAGGAGTCGATGACAGACTTTATCCCGCTGGTGATGAGGGGCCGCAGAACGGGGGTGGGGGGGATGGGGGCGGGCTGATACTACCAGAGCCGCTCCTTCAGAAGATCCTGAGGCAACTGTGGAGAGCGGGTCTGGGAAGAGAAAGGCTGGGGCGGCCATGAAGAGAGCCAGTAGGTGGCAGTGGGGAGAGAGGAGGGGGTGAGTGGGGACCAGAGGCCCCGAGGCCAGCTGGATGTGGGGGACTCAGGATGACATTCTGGCTTGGGGACTGGATGGATGATGACACCGTTTGCTGAGGTGGTGACTACACAGGAGGAGCAGGTGGCTTGATGCTCTGTTCATTTCATGGGGTTCCCTATTAATCACCACACAGGAGAGTGACCAAGGGCCCAGGGTCCTACAGCACTGGTGGGCCGGGCCCCTCTCACTGCCCTCTTTTGAAGTCTGTGGTGGGCTCTCCACATGCGCCCATGCCCTTGCCCCACAGATGCCCCTACACCATAGGGACTAGGGCTGCGCAAAAGGAAGGGCCAGCCTCGAAAGGGACTCCTGGGGCGTTTCCTGAAACCTAAGCCTCAGGACACCCGGGGACACCCAGCATCCCCTCTGACCAAACCCAAATCCCCTGCATTGGAAGACCTGCCCAACAGTTGGGTTTACCAAGCCCTTAGAGACGAGTTTCGTGCCAGGGTGCCAGGGGCTCTGAGGACACAGGCAGGAGGGTGCCACACAGTAAGTTCCAGAGCTGGTACAGCACAGGTGCTGCCCAATTAGATGGACTCGCATCGGCCCGTGGCCTGGACAGCAGACGGAGCGCCCCTGCCGTGTGGCCCAGTGGTGAGGTCATGGGGCCTGGGACCAGGGTGAATGGGGCAGGCGCCCTCAGAACCCCTGGGTTGCAGGTGTTCACCGCCAGCCAACACTGAAGCATGTCACTGCTTTAACTAGGACCCCCACCCGTGGTGAGTGACAGCAGAGACCCCCTGTCCCACCCTGAGGGCAGGAGTGGCCGGGGGTGTGTTGCTGTTGTCCCACCATACGTCATCCTTGCACATTTTCGTCCCCTAGTGGCACCTGGGAAGCCGAAGTAGATCTCAGCAGTCTTAAGCTGACCCCTAGGGGACAGCTGGGACACAGCAGGGCACAGCGGGGACTTCAGACCTGTCCCAGGCTGGCCCCTCTGCTCCCCACACCTGAGGGGCTGTGGTCTTCCTGCTCCTGGCCTTTAACCAAATGGAGCCCAGAGACAAACATTACAGGAATCTGCGGCAGCAAGGGGATTCACTCATGTCACCGGGCCTGGGGCCTCTGGGCCTTCAGGGTCCCTCGCCACAGCACCCACTGGCCCAGCAGGCTGACCTTTCAGCCATGCCCCCTCATTTCCCTGCCAGTGCATGGGAGGCCCATGGTGAGGAACAGGTCCCAGGCCAACCATGCTGCCCCACCGGGTGCTCACGGACACAGCTGTCCCCTGCGTCTGGCAAGCCACCGCCATCCTGCTGGGCTCTGGCCACCCCCGTGAGGGCCAGACCTACACGGAGGGCAGAAAAGGGTTCACCCAGGAGGGCCTTCTACCTAAAGAAACGAAAGACCATTCACATGCAAAGAGCTTCTGGGCTGGTGGACACGCTGCCATGAGGGGAGGTGGTGTGCAGGGAGGTGGTGTGCAGGGAGGAGGCACGGGATCTCTGTTCTAACCCGCCCCACCCCTGCCCACATCTGGCCCCATGCAAATCTGAGCCTCAGTTCCGTCCTTTATAACAAAGCAATAGTGACAACCAGGAAATGAGTGGAGAAATAAAATGGAGTCACTATAGTCAAGCAGCTAAATTACAAAAATCAAGTGGACTGAGACACGAGGAAATGATTCTATTCTTGTCTGAACCAGCCTGGGAACATCAACCTGCATTGATGCCTGGATATACCTCAGGCCTTCCAGATAACCCTCTGCTGACCGCCCGGAGGACTAAGGAAAGAATGTTCACGTACCCAGACCACCCGACCTCCCTCATCTAGACCCCCGGTCATGTGTAGCACTGCCATCTCGGACCAAGCCAGAGGCCAAGAATGTAGGACTAATTCTTTTCAAGAATGCAATTTTTACTATAAGAATGCTCAGCTTTTTTTTTTCTTTCTTCAGAACACTCCTGGCTATTGCCTGGTAGTATTTCCAGCCTGCAAACCCTAAAGACCTGTGAAAAAATCTTTATCATTCATTTCTAGCCAAAGCCTCCTGACTCTTTCGGAGCTCATTTGACAGCGAATACCACGTTCTCCTGAGCTCCACGAGTGGTTCCGGTGAATTCCAGGGGGGTCACGGGATCCCTGCATTTGTGGTCAGCCAGCAGAGGTGCAGGTAGGCGGGGACCCCATTTGTGGTGGTCCCAAGGGGGGCAGTCTTGTGGGACTGAGTTCTTGACTCAGGGTCTGCGCGAACTTTGGATAGTTAGCGTTAGCATCAAGTCGAATTGCTGGATACCTAGTGGTGTCAGAGAATTGACTGGTGGTGCTTGTTTGGCGGGGGTGGGGTGGGGGGAGACGTATAGGGACCTATCGGCTCAGAGGGCTGCGGCACAGGAGAAAAGGAAAAGTTGTCCTGCCTGCCATTAACCACGAGCATGTCACTCTGCCCTGGGCTGTTTCTGCTCGGCGTCTCGGAGGGGCAGCGAGGCGCTCCGTGAGGACCCCCAGCCCCTGCATTCTCTGCTGTGGCTTCCCGGCGGGCTTCACCACTCCAGCTCCAAAAACTCTTTCTCAATTTTGAAGCCAAAGGGTCCTCCACGGAGGCCCTGGGGCCCCCAGACACCGGAAAGGCGAAGCCCAGGCAAGAAGACCGAGAGGGGCAGGGCGGCCTGCACGAGGTGCCGCCAGCCTCCTGTGCGGGGCGGGGCCTGAGACCGGGCTCTTACCTGCTCCGCGCAGTCTGGGATCTCTGGGGCGCAGGGCAGCGTCCCCGCGCTCTCCATGGACAGCACGTCCTTCAGCAGCTCCTCACACCCTGCACACACACAGACAGACAGACAGACAGTGGAGGGTCAGAGCCTCAGCCTAGCATGGCAGCTTTGCTTCAGGGCTGCAGGGAGGCAGACAGCCTGAGTTTCCCGGAGACTGGGTGGCCACTCAAAGACAGAGGTGGACACCCAGCTGTGGAGAAGACAGTCCAGGGCTCCGCAGAGGGAGCTGAGCTAGGTCCTTCCCCTCTGATGTGCTTCCACTGGGACCAGCCCCAGCAGGGAGCACACAGGGAGGAGACTCCCACATGTAGAGGGCAGGCTGGGAGCAACGGGAATCAAAGAGGCCTTCCTGGAGGAAGCAGTGTCAGTCAATACCCCCTTCCTGGCTCACAGGGCCTCCAAACACACACATTACCCTGAGGCTGAGGCCCTCTGCAGCCCTGCAAACTCCAGACATCTTGGAGAGGGGCACCCTCAGGATGGCCCTACCTCCTGCTGACTCAGTTACACAGGAGACCCCCCTCCTTGGTCCCTGAGAAAATGTCTCCAGATCATACAGGTCCCCAGATCATATTGGACAAAGGAGGTCAAACCTGCAAAGTGCCTAGCATGGGCACAAGACAGGTGCAGTGAGCGGTGGGCCCACGGGGCCAAAGGCCTCTCGGAGCCCCTCCCTGGGAGCCTGGTGCGCACAGCCCCCTCCACACCGCCGCTCACGTCCCTTTGCCTCCCACTTCTAGGGCGGTACTGCCTGCTTCCCCCCACCCTCCCAGAACTCGGGGTTACCCCACGCAGAGGGGTTCACCCTGCTGTGATCCTCACAATCACGGCTTCCTTCCTGGGTAACAGGAAAGGAAACAGTTCTCTTCACAGCCAGGGGGTGGCCTCCACAAGTCCACCTGCTGGCCACATTGGCTACTTTCTCTCCGCAGCAGCGAGATGTAAGAGTCATTGCATTCTGAGACCCTATTTCTGGGGTCTCTCACAACTGGCCTTTGGTTTGGGGCAAAGAGAGAGGGATTTTATGTTGTCCCATTAAAGGGAAGGGGCAGGAAAAATATAGGAGTTTAGGGAAAGTGGAAACAAATGAAGGAAACTTAGGAGGGACAGAGGGAGATGGGGTGACCAGTTCTGTCCAGCTTCTCCCAGGAGTCCCGTGTGCTGGGGAACTCCTCACGAGTCTGGTCGCCCAGAAGGGGAAAAGAGGAGAAAGAGGGGGTCACAGACCACGGGAGGGGCAGAAACAACTGGTCACCAGTCCAGGCATGCCTGTCCCTGGGCGTGGGCCTCCACAGTGCTGGTTGGGTTCAGAGAACCCCACAGCCCCTCCGTGGCCAGGGGCCCAAGACCCCTCCCCTGGGCCCTCATGGGGAGCCGGGGAAGAACCCACTTCTAGGACCATCCTAGGCCCCTGGGCCCCCCACTGGGAGGAGTCTGAGGGAAGACCAGCGGGACGGGACGGGGTCCTCAGAGCCCCTAGAGCCCTTGCCCCAGGACACGTCACCTTTCATGGCGAACACTCCCCGGCAAAAGTCCTTGAAGTTGATTCTGCCCAGGTCGTTGGGATCCAAATATTTCACAAGTTTTTCCACCTGTGGGAAGAAAGAAATGACAGGTGTGAGCCACCCCCAGAGAGTCCCCGGAGGGTTCATGGAGCAGGGGCGAGGCTGGCAGGCTGGCCGGGATCCCGGGGTGAAGGGAGAGCGTGTGAAGTGGGCCGAGGGGCTGCCGACGGTCCCCTCCCAGCCCTCTCCCCACCGCAGCCTGGGGTGGGCACCAGCCCCAGAGAGCAGCGGGGCCACTTCAGTCTCCTGGAGCGACAGAGCTACTCCAGGAGAGTGGCAGCAGTGAGGAAAAGCAGCACCAACAGGCAGCGGTGCTCAGCGCTAGGTTTGTTGGGTTGCTGGGGGCGGGGGCGGGGCGGCTTGTCTCTCAGTCTCTCCCACAGACACTGGCACACGGAAAGCAAATGCTTTGACTTTTCAACCTCACGGTTTCTTTCGAGTGGAAACAATAGAAACGCACTGCAGAAACTCCAGAAAAAAGAATAAATCGAAACCCTGCCATTTCCCACTTATCTGTTCAACACACAGTTTTAACCACTTTAAAAAATTTATTTTGTAGCTCTGAGAAACCCTTGGCTGAATTCCCCCTTGTCTACAAGCTGGAAGTAATCACATCAGCATCACTGGGCCTGCTCCCTCGCACCCACACCCAGGCCCCACCCAAGGACTGGGTCCCAGAGCTGCCTCCCTTCCCACGTCACCCCAGGGACCCCACCTGGCCCCAGCCACCTCCATCGCCCTCCCTGACAAAGCAGATCTCCTCATCCTCTACCCGCTTCCGAGGTCAGCCCCTCCAGTTCATTCGCCACTCCAGCTGGATCCCGCCATCTACTGAAAATCTTCTAGTGACTGTCCGCTCCGCCTAGGATACAGTCCAACTCTGTACCACGGCCTACAAGGCCCTGTCGAGTCTGGCCTCTGCAGCCCTATCTCCTCCCACTCTCTGTCGCTCCCTGCATCCCAGCCACACTGGCTTCTGGTCAACTCCACAAGCAAAAAAACTCTTTTCTGCCTCAAGACCTTTGCACATGCCATTCTGTGTATTTCAATGCTTATCCTCCCCACTGATCACCTGACAACATCTATTCACCCTTCAGTCTCCATTTGTACCTCTATTAAATGTACATCAGTCCTGATTGGTGTGACTCAGTAGATTGAGCACCGCTCTGTGAACCAAAGGGTCGCTGGTTTGATTCCTAGTCAGGCCACGTGCCTGGGTTGCGGGCCAGGTCTCCAGTAGGGGGTGTGTGAGAGAAGCAGCCACACGTTGATGTTTCTCTCCCTCTCTTTCTCTTTCCCTTCCCTTCTGTCTTAAAAATAAATAAAACCTTTAAAAAATGTTTTCCCCCCAAACAATCCTTCCTGACTACTTCCACCTAATTAGGCCCATCCTGCTATTATCCAAACATGTATTGGGTTTGGATATCCAAAAAGTTCCTATGTTTTTTTCCATAAAATAAAAGAGACATTTTCAATTTTCACCCATAACATTATTGATTTGGATATTTTGAGTGTATCGGCTATCTCCCACTACTGGCTTCTAGTGAGTAGAGACAAGGGATACTGCTAAACATCTTCCAATGCATAAGACAGCCCCACAGCAAAGAATTATTTGGCCAAAATGTCAACAGTACAAAGAAATTTTGCAAACCACTTCTGACACATTCAATCAGTTACAGCACCTTCTCCATATGCTGCACAAGTCTTTTTTGTGTTTCAGTTGTGTTTTTATCTGTCTCAAAATAATACACCAATAATGTTGCGTATCTTCTTCCATCATCAATATTAAAATGGCTGCACAAAAATTCACCAATTTTAATAGTTTTTTTAAATGCACGCTGATAGGACAGCTGTCACAATACAATCTAACAAAATTGTTTCAAATGAAGTTAAAGACAACTAAACACTACTAGAGCGATCATACAGAAAAAACTAAACAAACTTTTTGGCCAACCCAGTAGTACTCTATATACTTTCCCTTTAAGTCACATGTTGCAATGTATAATTATATGTTTACATGATAATTTGTTAATTTATATATTTCCCTGTAGAAAATAAGTTCCTTGAGGGCAAGGATCACATGTGTTTTATTTTCTTTTTCAAGATTTTATTTATTCATTTTTAGAAAGAGGGGAAAGGAGGGAGAAAGAGAGGGAGAGAAACATCAATGTTTGGTTGCCTCCACAAGCCCCCTACTGGGGACCTGGCCCATAAGCCAGGCATGTGCCCTGACTGGGAATCCAACCTGTTAACCTTCAGTTCCAAGGCTGGAGCTCGATCCACTGAGCCACACCAGCCAGGACTAGAAGCCTACTTCTTTTTTTTTTAAGATTTTATTTATTTATTTTTAGAGAGGGAAGGGAGGGAGATAGAGAGAGAGAGAGATACATCAACGTGCGGTTGCTGGGGGTCATGGCCTGCAACACAGGCATGTGCCCTGACTGGGAATCGAACCTGCGACACTTTGGTTCGCAGCCTGGGCTCAATACACTGAGCTACGCCAGCCAGGGCTAGAAGCCTACTTCTAAATCAATATGTTACTTAGTGGCAGCCCCTCCACAGCACACACAAAAGCATTCATTCATGCATTCATTCATGCATTCATTCACTCATTCATTCAACAAGCAATGACTTGGCACCTCCTACATGCCGGACACTATGCAGGGTCGGCAAGCTAACCACACACATGGCCACATGGACACACACACAGTCATGCATACACAGATACACACACACACTTGTTGTCAGGCACTGCCCCCTGCCCCCACCATAGCCACCACCAGTACCTAGAGCACAGCCAGGCAATATGTGCTCTCTCCCGGGCTCTCCTTGAGCTGGGTAGCAGGTGATGGACATAAAAGCACTTTGGGAATGGCAGTGCACAGCATGTAGGAGAGGGACTCCTGTCACTGCTGTTCTCATTAGCACCGCCGTGGCAGACACCCTCCGGCCTGCACCCCACCGCGTGCTCTGTAGGCATTCATCCATTCGGAAGGACCGTGTTTCCTGCATGCACACAGGATACTGCCAGCCTAACAGCCACAGCGGGGGTCTGAAGCCCAGGTCACTGCCGGCAGCCTGGCACCATGGGGATGTGTCCAGTGGGGGTTAAGAAGATGACCAGTGAGCAAAGAGAGACCTTCACACACATCTTTCCTCCCTCCCTGAGCTCAGTGGCTCAACACTTGTACCTCTGTGCCCACTGACCCTGATTGTGCAATTCAGTGTGAACGGGGGGGGGGGGGGTCATGACCCCCTGGACCTGGGCCCTCAGGGAAGGCCAGAGGAACTCTGGTGAAGGAGAAGGTGGTTTCTCCCAGCCCCTGCCCCGCCCCACTGAGCCTCCCTAGCACTGCAGCTGCACCCTGCCCCCCAGCCAAGGCAGCCCCTGACTCTGCCAGGCAATGACATAGCTCGGAGAATAGCCATGGCCAGGTGCCACCCGCAGGGCTGGGAGAGCCCACTCCCCACCCCAGCTCTGTCCTGCCTCCTCTCCTCCTGTCCTCCCAGCACCAGCGTTGAAGAAAGTGTATGAATTCGGGGATGAGCTGGGCACCTGGGAACCCCCAAGCCACCTGGTGCTCATCCCTACAGTCCTCTCTGGTGCCGAAGGCTACGCATTAACAATCTCTGATGCAAGTCAAGTGCCAAATAGCTGATGGGGAGCCCCAACTTCACATCCACCTGAGAGGCAGCAAGCAGGCCATGGATTAGGGTCTGAAAACCACGGGGTCTGTTACTGGGGCTGGAGATACTGGTAGGGCCAGGCTGTCTGTCCCATGAGCCAGCCTGAGGTGCAGGGTGTCTGGTGACATCAGATACAGGGGGCCTGAGGGCCCCTGCCAGACCCCGGACACCCCGAGCCGTGGCCCAAGCGACTCCCACAGGGTGCTTCACAGAGCGGCGGGTGCGCAAGCGTCAAATGCTGTGCGGCCCTTTAAAAAACAGTCGGCATCGCTGTAAAACTGTAACAATAAACACCAATTATAACAATAAATACCATAGCTGTAATCGCGATGATTTTTTAAATGAACAGTAGCAGGGCTCACCCAGGGAAGTACTAATGCTCCTCGCTGGGGTTTCGGAGGGCTTGCCACCGGCCACAGAGCGGCGCTCAACTCTGGCAGTAGTTAGTCTCGCCGAAGCCTCCCCGCAATCTTAAGAGGCGCAGCTACTATGGCAGTCCCCATTTTACAGGTGAGGAGACTGAGGCTCGGGAGGATAGACACTTGGAGAGTCGCCCAGCGGTAACTCCCCGCAGCCCGCACTCCAGCCCTCCGGCGAGGCGGGCTCTCACCGGAGGACGCAGCGCAGCGTCTTTCAAGTCCTGTCCCCTAGGTATGCAAGGAGCTTCGCCTCTGTGGCCGGGAACCCCTCACCCTCATCTCCAAGAGCCTCGACCCTCCTGGACACGAGATCACCTTTTGCCAGGGCACCCAGCCCCTCATTTTATAGACAGGGAGTCCAAGTCCCAGGAGGGGAGGGCTTGCTCAAGGTCGCAGGCGAGCTCAGTAAATGGCCACCCGCACGCTGTCCTCCGGCGAGCAGGGTCCACAGGCGCTGGGGGCCCACCCGGCGGCTGCGGCGGAAGCGCACGCACTGCACGGCCCGGCCGCCCCCTGGGCCGCTGCCCAGGCCAGGAGCCACGCGCACACGGGGCCTGGCGGGGACGGGAGCAGCTGCTGCCGCGGAGGCACACACAGCTGGGCCGCGGGGCAGGCTGCCAGGGAAACGGGTTGTTTCCCTGGCAGTGAAATATTGATCTTTCCTTTTTGGGCCACCTAATTACCAGGCTTCCCCTTCTATTTCTGTTGCCTTTCTCTTCAGGCAGATTCTTTCCTCCCCCGTTCCCCCGGGTCACATCTCCTCCAGCTCGGGCCAGACGACGTTCCTCGCTCCATTGCTGCCGCTCTCTCTTGATCGCCAGCCAGATCCAGCCACCCACGCCTCCGTAATTCTGAGATCTCCAAGCCAGATGGACTCAGACAAGCCATCCGCCTCGGTGAGGTCTCAGCGGCCTCGTCTGA